TGGAAGTATAACTTGATACACCTTACTACTATGCTATATTTCTCTAGGTAGTACTAGTAGCATCTTAACATTGAAAATAATAACTATGGTAATAATGCTTATAGCGATACATGTGTATACAAATATACACAAATACACAGGCTGAGATTTAGAAGACATTTGTGTCTTCTTCTATTAAGTGACTTTGTCTTTATATCAACAAAAAAAAAGAATTATTGTACTGCTAATTACATTATAGTATTTTCAGTTTGCAAAATGAAAAAACTATAACTATAGGAATGCAAATGCTCGGTATTTAATAGGAGAAAGTGAAATGCATTTAAGGTCATCAATTCTTTCAAGGCCAATCATGTAAGCAATGCAATAATCTTATTACGCATGTGTGTAGTTAGTTTAAAAACCCTTTAGAATCGTATCTTGACAATTTACAAATATTCATGGTTCTCATAGAGCCTAATACTTTTAATAGATCGTAGCTTGTTATTTGTTAATTATAAAAAATTTTAATACAACAACAGTGCTTGCATAGCAATGTCAACTTGAAAAGTTGACTGCATTTTTCTTATTTTAGCAAGTAATTAGCGCGATCTGCGTATCAACCCTAATTCGAATTAATTAATTAATTGGTAACCATCACTTTTTATCTAATATGTTCGTTGTAACCGACTTGATGCGTATCACTGCAAATTCAATGAAAGAAAACAACACATTTGAACGTGAATGCCCTAGTTTCCAATGCACCAAACAGCCAGCATTACTTTTTACAAATCAGTTCTGTGTTTTCATCTCTCCCAAGTACAATATAGTCATCAGGAGAATAATCGAAGAGTACAAAATCATACCTGAAAATATATATACAAATTACATACTGAAGCAATGAATGGCACTCTTTATGAATAAGAAACATGTTCATACACTTTGGGGACAGATCATTCCATTTAGAAACATTTTTAACACATTTTTTTTATCTCGAGATTCCGTTCGAGCTGCCGAAGTTGTTACCAAAGTGTTAAGATTTACAATTCATCTTAAATTGTAACTCACCTAAACATCTCATACAGATCGTTGATCTGTGATTTACTCAATTGAGCAAAGTAATACTTGATTACATCCTTTGTTTGAACACCTCTTGTCGGATTCTTCCACTCCGGCTTAATAATGTGTCCCACATGTGCTTGTTTTATCAGATAATCTTGATCTTCCTTCATAAAACACATATTAGTCTCTTAATAGAATTTGACATGAATCTGTATTATCGATTGACTAATAAGCGCTTACATGAAGTGTTTCAAATTTTGCTATCACATCAAATCGTACTTGACACGGTGTACAAAAATTCACGACTGGTGTCCAATGCATGTCCAGTTCATTGCCAGCCCTCCACTGGCACAACAACCATCGTACAAATTCCTCGAACAGCGGGTACCTCGGACCATGTCTTCCATTTGTTTTTGGATCCTGATTCATTTCAAACAGTGGATAACAATAAAAATCCGGATTATCGAATTTATTATTATTATTATTATTATTATTATTATTATATTACGAATAATAGTAATAAGCTTTTGTAAAGTATATTTACCCTTGATCTGTAGTGCCATACAATATGAGCCCCCAGATTACTATGAAACGTGTGCGGCAAACTGTGCTCCAGTTTATCCCTGTAGGCGCTGAGCAATCTCTCGAAGGGGTGCCTGACTATCAGAAAACTGATGCTGTCGTTTAGGAACTTGTTTAACTCTTCTGCCGTGTATCTAGGATATTTCTGTCTGGCTAGAGAAACTGGTACAGCCTTCGAGGCCTTTAAAAACTGTGGACTGTATCTGAAAAATGAACACAATATTATCACACTTTGAGACAATACGGTTGCTCTAGCCACAGAGGTATCGAAAGAACTGTACCCAGCGAGCAAATTGAAATTGTACATCCACGATGTGGACGCTGCTTTGAAGATGTTGCACCATATCAGGTGGTACTCTTTATTCACAAGAAACTCCCAGGCATTAGGTCTATGAAGAGAATCATTTCCAGGTCGATCCAAACCCTCCTCCGCGCATCTCTCGGTCAGAAACTTCCTTCTGGCAGCTAAACGTCGTTCGGTTTCAGCATTTGTTGCTTCCTCCATTAATCTTTCCTCCGGGGTCAGGTTGGAGTCTTCCTAAAGAGACATACAATATTTTTCCGTATCAATGCAACGTTTTCAGATCAGGTTCCGATCTGTTGCGACCATCACGATTCGTAATGTCATTCGATACGAATAACGAGAACTGTTCTCAAACAGGATAACGCAGTGGTCAAAGGTAGTTATACAACATGACAGCATTAACTGCTGCGTAATAACGCTACGGCGTTGTTACGTAATGTTTGTTTGTTGACAGGGATGCGCCAACGTGATCAGATTTTTCTATTCAGCGTGTGTGTCGCAGGTGCAAAGTAAGCTAAATATCCATTATACAATGGAACAAAACGAACACGGACGGGGTTGTTGCGTCCCAGTCTTCGTAAATCGAACGAGATCAAGATTCAAAAAATTCTGTTTGCGTTAAGAAAATAGAATGGATCATTTTGGATCGAGTTTTATTTTTCTTTTTTTTAACCTTTTGAGCTCTGAATACTTCTGGCCGAAACGGTTCGTAGGGACGGAGCGCGGCAATCGCTGACCATCGCTGGGGGCGGAATACTTTTTTGCCACACTGAAGCGACTATTCAAGGCGCAAACAGTAATAAATTATAGTGATTCTTTTGCAGAAGGTTAAATAATTAATCTTCTGATTCAATGTCCGATGATAGTGATTCACTATATTCTATTTCACTGTCGTCCCTTGTGAAATATTCCTCAAGATTTGACATTTTGTAGGGTGTCACGAATAAAAACAAAATAATCGAACAAGTTATATTCCGCACTATCGTTGTTGACGCGAGCGAGACCGTCAGGTTCTTACGTTCGCAAGACGATACTGCTGACCGAGTCGTTTTGAGCGCTTTGAGTCGCGAAAAGGTGACAGAGTGCAGGTAATCATTTTGAAATCTAATTGGTTAGAGAGTGGGACACATAAAATGGGATTTCCGTTTCGGAAATTCCCGGGAATTTTTATGACCCTAAAATATTGCCCAACCGCTACCTAAGGAAGGCAAATTACTAACGAGTGGCCCTGTATTAATTTCACACGAAAATAACTGCATATCGATTGAAAAAATCGACAAACGCATATATGCGCCCTTAGTCCAGGCCGATGACTTAGAGAAAACACATAAACGCGGCCTTAGGCTACACGGATGACTTTCGCCAAACGCATATATCCGTCCATAGAGCTCTAATTAATTAAAGAAAACGTTCAAAACGGGTTTCAAAATGGCTACTAGTCGACGATGGTCTTCAGATATCTAAAAAGTTTTCTTAGATAGATGATGCAGATAGACAAAATCAAGGCAGCGGCACGCTGTACCACAGCGTATGGCCCATATTTCCGGTGTTTGCGTCGGTGTTGGCATCGGCGTCAACCTCGGGACTGCCGGTATTCAGTTTCTAGACGGTAATCAATAAACGGAAGCCGCTGCTTCTGCATTCGGTGTTTCCGACCGGCTATCGTGACGCCACTGTGAGTTGGCCATGGTCCGTTTTTAGAATAGAGTCGGAAGTGAAAATACGATAAACTTCCGTAAGGGGCCCGCGGCCGACCAAGAAGGGATTTGGAAGAAGATCCGTAATAAATTCGCGAAACCAAAATTTTATATTTATATAATATTATTTATATTTTTTATTTTATATTTATATAATATATTTTATATTATATTTATATTTATATAATATATATTCTATATTATATTTATGTTTATTATTTATTTATATATTTATATTTTTATATCCGCGCTACCTCCAAATTTCGTTCCGATCGGGGACCACAGGTACACGCGGCGATTTGTATATAAAAATTAGGAAATTGAATTAACCTTGCCGGTTATTTTAGAAGGTTGACACGCGTGTCGCGTATTGCCAGTCATCCGATAAGAAGAAAGTCACTTCGAAACAACGGGGAAAGCTTTGGTTAATCGGCTAGAAGCCCGCGAACGTCTTCCCACGATCGCTAGCTTCGAATCGTTTATTTACCTTAAGCGCACCTGATAATTATTTGCCGGCTTCGCAGCACGCGGATGCACGCATGGACGGTTAGTAGGAATGTGTGTATATACACCGGCCGCGAAAAGATGGCACACAGATTTCGACAGCAGGGCGCGGGAGTAGATGGAACATCACAGGTGGTGGGGGATGGATCCCTGCGAGTTCCTCTGTGCCATCTTTTCGTGGACGGGCAGTGTACACATTTCTATCCTTGCGGTTCTCTCTACTCGCGTCTTGCCGCGCTGCGCCGAACAGTTAATAATAATAATAAGAAGAAAATTCGGAAACAAAAGAAAACAAAACCAGATCGCGAAATGCCTGATCTTTAGAAAGTTTTCCGGTAAATTGGTTCCGTTGAATAATCCGACGATATTATTCCCCTCCGGTAATATTACGGAAGAGTCGCGCTCTTTCCCCGTAAGCGGAGAAAATCGAAATCCGACGTTCTCAACGATCGAATAAACGGTGTTATGTTTGACACGTTGAATGCCACGCCGGTTTTACAGAAATCGTCCGCGGCGCCACGATGAATTTTCTTTTATGTGATACATATAACGTTGAAATATTATCTGCAATAGATAAGTTACAGTGTATAACCATGTTTGACATGTTAATTGCGACAGGTGTCACTGTTTGAATCGACGATGGTAATAATACAAAATTTTAGATATTGACATTTGTTTGAAATTATATATATTTCTATATCAATTTGGGCGCGCCGGTCACCGGTGGCNCCGATCGGGGACCACAGGTACACGCGGCGATTTGTATATAAAAATTAGGAAATTGAATTAACCTTGCCGGTTATTTTAGAAGGTTGACACGCGTGTCGCGTATTGCCAGTCATCCGATAAGAAGAAAGTCACTTCGAAACAACGGGGAAAGCTTTGGTTAATCGGCTAGAAGCCCGCGAACGTCTTCCCACGATCGCTAGCTTCGAATCGTTTATTTACCTTAAGCGCACCTGATAATTATTTGCCGGCTTCGCAGCACGCGGATGCACGCATGGACGGTTAGTAGGAATGTGTGTATATACACCGGCCGCGAAAAGATGGCACACAGATTTCGACAGCAGGGCGCGGGAGTAGATGGAACATCACAGGTGGTGGGGGATGGATCCCTGCGAGTTCCTCTGTGCCATCTTTTCGTGGACGGGCAGTGTACACATTTCTATCCTTGCGGTTCTCTCTACTCGCGTCTTGCCGCGCTGCGCCGAACAGTTAATAATAATAATAAGAAGAAAATTCGGAAACAAAAGAAAACAAAACCAGATCGCGAAATGCCTGATCTTTAGAAAGTTTTCCGGTAAATTGGTTCCGTTGAATAATCCGACGATATTATTCCCCTCCGGTAATATTACGGAAGAGTCGCGCTCTTTCCCCGTAAGCGGAGAAAATCGAAATCCGACGTTCTCAACGATCGAATAAACGGTGTTATGTTTGACACGTTGAATGCCACGCCGGTTTTACAGAAATCGTCCGCGGCGCCACGATGAATTTTCTTTTATGTGATACATATAACGTTGAAATATTATCTGCAATAGATAAGTTACAGTGTATAACCATGTTTGACATGTTAATTGCGACAGGTGTCACTGTTTGAATCGACGATGGTAATAATACAAAATTTTAGATATTGACATTTGTTTGAAATTATATATATTTCTATATCAATTTGGGCGCGCCGGTCACCGGTGGCCCCCATGGCGTCACCGCCAAGTTAAGTGCCGGTCACCGGTGACCCCCCCATGGCATTCAACGTGTTAAGGAGAACAAGTGTTGTCCGCGACAGTGAAAATTAGAGGACATCGGTTTGCAGCACCGTGCGCTATGTTGAGTAGTAATTATGATTTAGCGGAGCCGGGGGGAAGGGAAGGGAAGGCTTGCATCGCGGTGACGGATTTAGCTAGATCGTGAAGTGATCGCCTTACGTAAAGAGATGCGAACATAGATTGGCAGAGTTCCAGGCGCAATGCGGCACGCGATCATCGTGGACGGGCCACGCTCGCCCGATACTGCCCCTTTAAGCATGTACAACGATGCTCGCTGTGCTACCCCCTTGATTCGGTCAATTACTAGACCGGTGCGGCAGGGAGAGATCGATCTTCCATCGATACGCGTACGACCGTCGTCTCGTTCAATGTCTCCATCCATTCCGGATAAAGAACATTGGTCAACGTTTATCCATCCATCGGGAAAGACCACCGCCCGGTGTTCCGATAATCATCGGATTTTGCAATACCGTTGCAATTACCGCGTCGTGCTCGATTCTAATTCCAAGCCGAAATTCTCCTAGTCGAACGAACCCTTCGCGGTGGCGAGAACACAGTGCGGCGAAATATGTATCATTCTTCGTCACAATGAAATACGTTCTTACGAAGGTAACGTGTTCGTAGATGTTACACGGGGTGCGCGCGGCGTTACGGACAAAGACCCTTCTTCCGTCGAAGGCGCTTTTCCATGCTACGTCCACTCCGACTGGAACGACAGTGTTCTTCGGCGGGCCGGGAGTAATTGTTCTTTAGAAGGCAATCCGACTAATTTTCCGATGTTCTAGATCTTACTGGCACTACCGCTCTTTTCTTTTTTTCCAAATCCGACGTTTACTTTCGACGCAACGCAATTCGCAGTTTTACAATTTTCTGTTTGAAGCGCAATATACGTGAAAGAAAGTGTGAACCTAACTTGTCCAAGAGAGCAGGCGCCATAATCGTGAAACCTCTCGCGCCCGCAGAGAATAAGGAGAAATCGAAAGAAGTTAATGTCGGGCAAGAAGGAAAGAGCTCCCCCGATCGATTTTTAGCATGTATGCAACTTATGAATAATAATCGAAAAGCCACTGGAAGTGGTTCGGTGCCGGCGACTGCTAAAATGTGGATACATCGAAGGGAAATCAATGAGCCGAACATAAGAAAGTTCTCTCGCAGAAACAAAAGAGATCTTTTGGCTATCCTTCTTGCGCCTCCTCTCTTCCATTTCCCGCGTGCGGATAAAAGATTGCTTACTCACCTCCAACAAAAGGCCTTGCTGTACGCTATTGCCAGCATCCTGGCTCGACAGGGCCAGCACCAACAACGTTATCACACCGGCGACCAATAATACTCGACGAATCGCCGCGAATACGTGCCGTCGCGGTGTCATCTTCTCCCGATGGACGATCTTCCTTCTGTACTCATGTCGAACTGCAAAAACATTCACAGATTTACGTTTTATAACGTATTCTTGTAATTTGAGCTGTAATTACACCGTCTGATCTCTTTAAGGTGAAGAAACAATTCTCGAATTTATCGAACAATTGACACTGAATTGGCACGACCGCTAACGCAAAGGGATCGGTATCATCGATCATGTATCATTAAGGATATTATTATATCCTATATATAATATTATATATAGGATATATAATATTATATAGGATTATATATTATTATTATATTATTATTATAATATTAATAATATAATATTATGATATATATATATTATATCCTATATATAATATTATATATAGGATATATTACTTTCAACTCATCAGAATCAGTAAAAAGAAAGAAAGAAAGACATTTTCATCGAAGGTATGTTCGTCTCAATTAACACAGACAAATTTTTCTTTGCATAAAAATCCGCAATCTAATCATTACCATATGTCGTACGTGTATTAAGTTCTCCGTTTAATATGCTCGTATCTGTAATAATGAATTGTTCGGACAAGGCTTCAGGGTCATCGTAAGATAATACTTTTGTAACGCGTATAGGCAATTATTTCATGGATCTGCTTCCAATAGGCGCGCGTTAAAATAATGCATTTGATTCAATAATTAGCTACGAGAAGGATTCTAAATCGATGCGATGACAAAAACAGATACAAAGTCGTATATAAAGTTGGCACGATTTCTCGTGAACGACGTACGAGAAGATAACGCCACGCCACAGTGTTCTTTCGATCGTTCGTTATCGTTCGCGATCAAAATCAGCACGATTCCCTAAAAGAGCAAGGTCGTGATTCGTGTCACACGAATGTTTGCACAGCGAATCACGAATCTTGCATAACTGCCGTTCCAATTGGAAAAGTCTCGCGAGAACAGGCAACGCGACGACTGCATTGGTCATGCATTCCCTAGGTCAATGGGTCAGAGAACACCCATCCTTTCACCTTTATCTAACGTTCTCGTGGGAGAACGATGCCGCTTCTCGTCGTTCATGGATCTCGACGCACCGCGATGCGTTTATCGAACGATTCGAACTTGGGTGTACGTACCACCGCCAACGGACATATATGCCCCGATGTCAGAATTCAAGGATGCATCTATCGCACCCCCTCGACACAAAACTGAATTCTCGGCCTCGCTGTGATCTCAAGTTCGGTGCGGCGCGGCGCGGTTCCTTCGGTCCCCCGACGAGCGTGATTCCGTCGATATTGTCTTCGGTATCCTGTAGAATCCTCGACGAACGAGACGGACACGTGATGTACCCAACCGATCCACCGAAAGATACAGACGACACACGATCACGGCGGCATCCTGCAGTTCACTGAAGCCACTAGTCGGACCGTTCCATGTTCCATGTGTCCGCGTATCGTGTCGTCTGCTGCTAGACGACTCGATCGTTGCCTCCCATTGGTTCGCGTTTTCGCGGGTCGATTTGTTGCTAAACACGCTTACGCCTGCGCGAAAACACCTCCGACTTTGTAACCCTATTAATTCCAGTGACAAAGCGTTTCGATTCAACCCTTTTCGAATGATAATTAATAATGACGATGCGTGCGTTGGATAAGCAGTCCCGAATTTGGGACTGTTTAGTGTCAAATACGGGAATGAAATTTGCTCGAACGGCGACTTTACCGACCGCGACAATGTAATTTACGTCGATACGTTCGGTTATCGATAGAAAAGTTTCCTTTGTCGGTATTGTAAATTTCAATTCCAAAATCTTTATTTGACTAGCGAACAAATTGATCTTGTCATGACACGTGGAATCTTGTGTTTCAGAATACTACACGATCCGCAGATATATATCGATCTCAAAGGATCCAACGAAGTTAGCGGTTCGTCGTCGTTTTGGTCTTTTATGGATAGCTCGTTTTGGTGTCGAACCGATAGCATTAAATCTCGTAAAGAAGTTGTTGCCACCGTTGTTCTCGAGTTGCCGAAATTCGACGAGAACGCATTTTACGACGTGTATGGTACGGTTTCGTACGAGGTCGATGAAAAACAGTATCAAACGCCTGTGCCCTGTATTCGTCTCTGTTTCGAGGAGATGATCGATAACAGTAGCGGTATCAAATTTACAAATAACCCGGAGCAGAATATTTTGGCAATAAAAAGTATGTCGATGGAGAAAACTGTTGATATACAAATCGAAGAGCATCCTGGACGGGAAGAGCATTTTTTAACGTATTTGGCATACTTATCGTTCAAAGAAATTTGCTCGCGCGTATACGCAGCGGAAACAACCGGAAGTCTGATGTTCTGCCTAATAGAGATACTGTCTCTGATCGAAGGACAGGCCAGATTACGAATATTTTCAAAGTAAACTGAGATATACGTTTTTTTTTACTAGAGATCAACGATGTATGCACGACACGTGTTACATTTTCTACTCTACATTGTAGGTCTAGTTGCCAGATGAATATAATTTTACGAGTTCTAAGAGATCAATTTCCACACATGACTGTCCAAGACAATGATAATTGCGTCCACGCAGCAATGGCTCTATTAGAGGAATTAAAGTTGTACGTAAGAAACGGAAGTACTTTCGAGCAGCAAATGGCAAGAGTTAAAACCGACCTACTTATCTCGTGATGACGGTAAAACAGATTTTCACTACCGCTATGTGTTAACTATTTGTAACTGTAATAGAAGCTCGGTTGTTGATTCCAGCAATTTACATGTATCTACCGTTCTTTATGTGTTATCAGATATTATTTAAAATACTATAGAGCTTTATTCGTTTACATTTTTGTTATCGTTTTCCTAGTTCCTTCTCCTAGACAATAATACCAGGATAGCATGACATAGGTAGCAGCATCGTAACTAGTATCGAGAACCCGCTAAAAACCGGTTCTATTTACCGCTAGTTTTATACATAGGAGCACAGCCGTATCTTTTTACGATAACGCGAATGTTGAGTTAATGCAGGTTCTGCGTTTATATGAACGTATCGTTCACATTCCGAATAAAAAGTTACAGCAAAATAGCATCAGAATAGCGTTAGAATAGATGCGTAATTTTTGTTTAATTTAGAGTTTCAAGTATAGTATGAAGATATACAACATATAGGTCTAGCCTACTTTTTAAGCTCGTTAGGACGATACCATAACCAACAAATTAACAAACAATTTGTCGGGCCTGTCAGTTATATTAGAATTATCGGTCTCCGGTTCTTAATTGACATTTCTTTTTCCAAATGTAAAAATAAGATAGTATCGAATATTTACTATCGTTTCATGGGAACAATCCTTGTTTAAGTACTTCCGCCATTTTCCCTGTTTTCTCAGCGAATGTCTGTGTGCGTATGATGTCTCACAGTTTATCTTTGGTTAGTAGGACTTATGTTTCATAGGTAGGTGTCTGCTGCCATCATCTGTTCCGTGGAGAACTTTGTTATGTCGTAGTCGTATGCAGTATCCAGTCTCACATATAAAAGGCTCGTGTAATTTCAGAACAAATGGCTAACTCGTTAGATGTCGTCGATTGGGAAGGTAGATTTTATAGAACTATTATTCGCAAACAAAATTTTTAGCTTGTCGATTATTCGAAAACTTTCTCTAACAAGTATTATTTTTATCATCTTGCTTTAACGTGTTGATGACACTTCGACGATGACACGGTTCACTGTGTTAAGTTTTCTAGGAAAATAATTGTAAAACTCTGCTTTTTTATCAAAACATAAAGCTGAGTTATTTCTATTAGTATTTTGATGATGTTTTATTTTCGTACTATCAAACCTCCATAATAATATGTAATTAAATCTTCCTAACCTCCTTAAAGTAGATTATCAATTACTTATTTTTTACGTATTTATCATAATTCATCGTTCCATAATTAACTTAATTGGTTATTGGTCAAATTGTACGGCTTTTATATAATTGTTTTATTAAGACAACGTTAGAGTTATTCTTAATTACACAATATTTCTAGATCTAAGAAGGCAAGCGAGACATTTGGAAAATGATATCGATGCAAAACTGGTAGCATTTAGCAAGCTTGGCATTAACGGGGGATCCAAACTTGTAAACAGTGATGAAGTGCCACTTTTGGACGAGGAGCATGTTTTTGAAAACATGGCTTCTGAAATAGAAGCACTATTAACTAAAGTAAGTTGTGACTACGAGCACTATTCTTTGGTAGATTATAAAAGCTGTTCTGTTATAGTTGTCCTCTATAAACGAGAGAATGAGCGAATTACACCCCAATGGTGCTGCAATGTTGCATACCATGCAGCGTCATAAAGATATATTGAAAGACTACAAACTGGAATTTAGTAAGATTAGAAATAATTTTGCAGCAAGAAGAGACAGGGAAGATTTACTTGGAAGTGTTCGTAAAGAAATAGAGTACGTACAATAACTGTCTTGTTATCCCTGAACTTTCGATTACTTGGTAACAGTTATAACTTACTTTTTATGCAGCAATTACAAAAGTGCAAGTGGACTAAATCGCAGAGAGATGTTCATGAAGGAAAATCAACATATTCATAAGTAAACGAACTTGCTCTGCAGAGCATTTATTCTAACTTACGTTTTTCTCTTACTAAAACCTGGCTTGCCTGACAAAAATGATCGAAAAACCTTACTGTTTTCAGTTCCGATCGGCTAATCAACGATCAAATAAGTATAGCAATGGAAACACGCGAACATTTGATGACTCAGAGGCAGGCATTCAAACGTATACAAACCAGGTTCAATGATATATCGAACCGTTTCCCGGCAGTGAACAGTCTAGTGCAAAGGATAAATTTGCGCAAGAGACGAGACTCCCTTATTCTTGGACTTATCGTTGGTTTCTGCACATTTCTAATGCTGTTGTATGCTTTTCACTAAATTTCATTCCATACCAAAATACTTCCACTTCAACGGAATTAATGGCAAGACCCATTTCACACGAAGATACCTACATCGCGATATGCGTATGCGATACAGCATTCAACACGAGAAAAGGTATTGCGGTACGGTATCGCTGTCAGAATGCTTCCATTGAACTAAATGTACGCTCGGTATACATCGTACGCGCATCGCAATACAAGCAACCTCGTGTGAAACGGGTCTAAGGATAACCAGATATGCGTCTCGCTAGGCCCTTTACCCTTTGGCGTCTGTCTCGCCAACATGTTCCTGCCGGTTGGTCCTTCGCTTCTCTAATTCTACCTTCCTGGCTCGAACATATTGGCGAGACGCGGAAACGAATAAGGGACCGGGCGGACGTCGAACCTGGCAACCATCGGTCGCCGATGTATTGCATGATAAGTGCGATCATCGTTTTGTCCGTATACGTTTTGATATTTTTTATCAATTTCCTTCGTATTTGCAATTTCGTCAGCATATGGTTTCTTTGTTCTTGCCTAAACAATGTACAGGTAATTGTGGAAGATAAACGGAAATATTTTTATTACTAGTACCAACAAAACTCGCAGTATACCAATCATGCATTACATGAATAGGGAACATTGAAATCGCAAAGAATTGTCCACGATGTTGAGCAAATGATCGAGTGAATGTGTTGAAAAGTGAGATATAAAATATGCAAATGTAATATTGTACAGTTTTTTTTATACCTAATTATAAGCCGTGGATGACTCTATGTGTAGAGCAGGTCTCGACAACTGAATGCTCACAAACTGCCACGCTTCGAACCGCTACCCCTTGGCAGATTGGAAGCAATATTCAGTTACCCGGGCTTGGTATAGACCTTGAATCCGCGATCGACATGTTAATTTAATAAATGTTAAAATCAACGGTGAAAGTTTTACCCATTTTGAAAATCATATTTGTATTGTTTTTTTCTGACTTCCTATACACGCGATAAAGAATATATGTATAAATGTATATATAAGTCGATTTTTAAGAAGCAGTTAAAAACTATAAAGTGATTTAGACTTGTCATCGGTACAACAGTCTGTACATCGTCTTTATTTGCCACTGTGTTTATGGATAGAAAGTAATACCTGTAAGTAATATACCTATGAGTCAATCTTCTTTTAATTGTTACATTTAAAGGAAAGGAGTAATACAATTTTTCGTGACAACGAATGAAATAAAATATGGAAACATTACGATCAAATTAAGTTGGATAAATAGTTCTTTCCATTTTTTTTCTTTTTTACTAAGAAGTATTGGTTTTACATACACGAAGATATTTATACATGTATATATACACACGCACGCGCGCGCGCGGATATATATATAGATATATATATGTATCTATGTATAGCATATATGTTTACAAGTCTCTCATTTGAGTTCACAAAACATAGCGCGTTAAGAAAGTAATCGTTCCGGCAAGTACGATGCCAGTTTCCACGTATACTAGATACCACATTTATAAATTACATCTCGTCTTGCGATAGGAACTGAAGCAGAAATTGTAAAAGTATCGAATATAAGGTACATATGCTCACCTAAAACTGCTTTTATATATTTTTTAATATATATTATTTACACTTTGAGACCTTCCGTGCCATCATCACAAATCTCACTTTCAGCATTTCAAATTTTGTTTGTTACTTTTTGTTTGCGTTTCCTTTTCTTGTTCAAGATTCTACGGTTTTGTACACTGTTTAAAGGGGAGGCTACAGTTCGCAAGGCAAGCATCTAATCAATCATCGATGTTTCGATTATTTGTTCTTCGTAAGGTTTAAAACGCATTCTACAAAATCCTTTTATCATACATTTCTCTTAGACAACCGACTTAATTTTGATGAAAAACCATTCCTATCAGAGAGTATCGTATAAATTTTAATACTGATTTTCGTAAACCCTGTATTTTTTTACTTATTTAAAACTGTATCCTCCTCCCAAATTAAAACTATACAAATTAAACTACGAGGATACATTGAATGCACAATAATGCGCCGTGTGATTCTTCGTCGTATCAAATTTCGTGAAAAGAACTTAACAAAAAAAATAACATAATTAGGATATTCCTATTTATAACATACGTTAGTATGTTTTGCATTGTCCTTTTTCTGTTGTGGTGGGTAGCGTACTTCGAAGTCTATGGTCCATGTGTACATAAAAGCAATACATAGTGTAACCGTAGAAACATACAAGCTTTCTTTTAGCGTATGTGTCGCGACACAATAATTTTCTGTGGCGAGGAGAGTTGCTGAGACAGGAATATTATATTCACAGATTACTCCGAAGTCAAGGAAACGCTTCCGAGTCCGCGCACCTTTCTAGAACAGGATTTGGAATTCTATTTATGAAACTGATAATCTACCAAATGTAGAACCGTCAATTAGTTTCTACCTTCTATATCCGAATCGTCTCCTGTTTTCGCTTATCGCTATTATTATTAATATTATTATTACTATTATTATAGTTTCCTTGTCGTAGACAATAGATTGCGAGATCCATCTCAAATGTAGCACTCTACCGAAACTCGTTCAGGCGTACCGACAAACAACAGACATCTACTCAATATACATGCGAGCTCGCATGACTACTTTTACGATTCTGAATATAAATATATTGTGTCGTGTATGTGTATAGACGTGTACGCTCGCGCGTGTGTCGTATGTACCGTTGAAATCTAATTATTTTTTTTTTCCTTTAATGCTCACTAGTTTAATAAAAAGGAGAATACTAGGAGACAAGGATACAATCTGTTTTTATCGAAACAAACTCATCGAATTCAAAGCGACATGCACGAAAATTTCGAAAATAAATAAGTCGATCTACATTGGCACTTGGTTCGCAAACAATGAACGTTTAGCTTCAATGTAACGCTTTTGACTTTGTCGATAAGACTTGTTTGTGATTACCTTGTCTCCCACACCCCGTAAATAGTAATAGTTTTGCAATGGGAGAGTAATAGTACGAATGGGGATAGCAGTAGTGTAATAAGATTAATGGTAGCAGTAGCAATTAGAATAATTAACTATCCGATCGATTCAACGATTAAACAAAAGTCGAACATTGTTGCGTATACATCTACAATCTCCGGCGAGAATTGATCATTTGCTATATTACTACTTTTATCATATCCCCTCCCTCCCCCTCCCCACACACTCCCTTACGACTCTACAGTTAAATTTTCTTTTCTACATCAGTCAGAAGTACAACTGTATGCTCTGTTACGACTAAAAATTCTCACAATCGACTCACACTTGATGTTGCTTTCGGTATCAGGATATGGTCATCATTAACGACTTTAATTTCTAACTAAAATTGCTCGCCCACCTCTTCTATACTAACAAAAATCTCGCTTTTTCCATACCGTTAATGAAAACTAATTTTACTTTATAGCAGACGCGAAATAAAGCTACGTCATATTGTGAAATCTGTTCATCGAACTCGAAGGAATGAAAACCTAACAGATTCTAAGATTTTATTTAGTTGGTGAACGAACGACGAACGTGCTCCTTTACAAATATCGTGAACGTTCAGAGGACGTGGTACCTATACTGTTTAACCTCTGTATAATTTCTGTATCGACTGGAGCGAGGAAAAGATTTGTGAATAATAGAAAATTTGTGTTCGTGTTTTCTTGGTCAACTGAACACGGATTCGATCTAGATCTAAAATTAAGAAGGATAGGAAAGAGAAAGAGAAAAAAGAGAACACCTAACTACTCAATGACGTTTGCTTGACGCCGAGATGCGACGAAAGCGATTAACGACACTTCGATAACTTATAAAATATCAACTTCAGAGCTCTAGCGAAGAGACAAGCTCGGATCTCAATGAGTTCGTAGGATCGCGAATTGGAAATATTTATGCCACACTTGCCGTATCGAACGGCACAATACGACACTATAGATTCACTGTTTCGAATATTACTTCACACCTCGTCAAAGATCTTCGCCATGCGTTTGCAAGTGCACCCTCTCCTTCACAAATTCTGTCGCAAGGCTTAGGAAGAGGGATTTGTCCATTATAAAGTCGCTTCCATTGGTCCTGCTTTTATCAAGTAAAAAGATTTTCTTATTTTCAATTTCTATCATATAATTGTGCGTAATATATATATATATATAATTGTGTAACCTCTGCAACATTCAATCTAGGCTGTAACAATTACTTACCTATTATTCAAAATGTAAGTTCCTCGGTGTTGTCCGAATCAGATGCTAACTCTTGGCGTAATATCTCCATACATGACTTTGGAATTAGAGTACCAACTATCTTTAAACCCTCGTCTGCGCCAACAAAGAATTTTTATAGACTTATTCTAGATATCATTAGGCTTGTAAAGGTAAAACATCTTACCAGTTCGTAAGCGCACAACTTGCATTTTCGTGTTGTGACCAGAACGTGTCGCCAAAATGCTTTCCACGCGACTCCAAACGCTCAATACCGAACCCGACAAAACATTGTAGGATCGTCTTCGAAGCCCCACCTCACAGTCCATACCAAGCGTTGCATTTTTACAATTGCCGCGCCAGTAAGCATGAGAACATGTGTCCACCGATGCATCATACTGTTGTGACCAATGAGGCTCTGCTTCGTCCGAAGATACTTTTTTGTATTTCTTCTCTAATTCGCCTAGAGTTTCTTGTCGAAGTTGCAGTCCCGTATTGGGTCTTTTACACAAAGTTATATATTATTTGAAAGTTTCTACGTGATCGACCAATAATTTCTAGAATATACGGTAACAATACCTGTAAACCATGTATAGGTAGTCTTTCTTGCTCTCGGACTTCTTTTTGCCTGTATCCACGGCGACTGCGAGAATGGCCGTCTGCTTTCCATTACGAATTTGATGACTTAAATAAAATCCTTCCTTAGACCCTGTCAATTCTGAACATTTGTCCATAGCCTCGGCCCAGCTCATACCACGTTCCACGTGAACCACGTGGAGCTCAGTTGGTGCTTTTCCTGTCGCGTGTTTCCTTACAAAACGGAACAGTTTGACTCGTTTTACGTTCTCGCCTGCGGTACCCAAGTCAAGGATACCCATGTCGAATCGTCCAGTTTTCTTCGCTTGAGTCACGATCGCGTTTAAAGTATCGGTGAAATACTTGAACAAACGATTCTGCAAATCGACTGGCATACCCAATATACGATTCAAGAACTTCGACATGTTGTTGTAATCCTTGTCCAATGTGAGCACACCGGGCGAGCTTTCACTGTTGCAGATCAAACCGACGCCCACCAACGCGTCCGCTACGTCTTTGAAGAAGTCGCCATGATAATCTTGAGGCGGTGGTACAAGCGGTGGTTCATACCTATTTAAATGGTTCAGAAAAAGTTGCATTTAGTACAGTAAAATTATTGTTATTATTACCGTTACTATATAGTAATTTGTAGTCGCGTCATTCACAATTGAGGTAATTAAAGGTAATAGAAAAATACAAACTTCATAATAGTTCTCATTGTCGCTTCAAGAGCTGCACGACCATATTTGTTGTCGATATTAAATTGTGAGAGATCTCTCGTTTCCGTAGCACGCCGATCTCCGTGTGTGAGAGCGCCAAGGCTTTCAAGTCGCTTCGCAACAATCGATGCGAATCTTCTTTCTCCTGCCAAGTCCGAGATGAGGAATATGTATTCGGGTGCGTTGACCTGATTCGAACGATGCGTACGTCCAAACTGCTGTATGGCTCTGTCGGCGCTCCATGGTAATTCGAGCGTAATATGTACTCGTCGCATTTGGTTCCTTGCTCGCCTATCACTCTGCAATGATATACCGCTACTGGCCGCTTCCGAAATAATGGCAACTGTTTTCTCACCGTCCATAAACCTGTTTCACAGAAACAAGTTAAACCACTTTGCTTTCTTTTTAACCTCGTCCCTTGCAATACTAGACTACTACGCACCTTTGCTTTTCAGTTAAATTCAGTGTTTCCAAAGGGACATCGACCTCGGATCTAGATTCATACTGAATAGTACCGTCTTCCGTTTGAACAACGCGCCCTTTCCTACCAGTCATTTCAGCCACATTCTCAGGGCCGCCAAATTCATCGATCAGTTGATCTAACGTATTAGGTGGTAGTCGTTCTCCAAGATCCTCAATCTGCGACAATAATTCTTTCTTCATGCTGTAAGCACGTTCCACAGCGTCTCTAGATGGTGCCCGATTGCGAACCGCAGCATTTCCTCCAACACCTGCTCCATATCCTACATATTAATCATAATATTATCTTGATTTAGGTAATCATTTCATAAAGTGTAGTACCTGGTCGTTTTTTGACTGGTTTCTTCTGCTTCTTGCCGCCTTTCTTTTTTCGTCTGTCACCAGAATCTACGAAACGTGTGTAAATGATACATAAATGATCAACAAAAAGACTAATCTTTTGATGCTGTACAAAATGCCTATTTTAACAAAACTTACCAGAATCAGATTCGGTATAATTGAAGGTAGAATCGGAGCTAATATTACTCTCCTCTTCGGTTCTATGGTCATCTTCGCTCTCACTTCCGCTTTGCTTGTACTCCGAGCCAGAACTATGACCACCGTTCCTTTCATCATCGGTAAAATCGTCATCGGACGGGAACGTGCGAACTCTCTTCGAAGCTCGTTGGGCCGCTTGTCTGACCGGTTTCCTCTTACTACCGCCGGCCGAACCACCTGCATCCATGTCATCGAGATCATCTAGCCTCTGCATCTTAGAAGGCTCGATGCCCAAAACTCGGTGTATGTGATTACGGTCCGATGCAGGAAAATGTTTCTCAACTAATGTCTGGAGAACTCCCCTGAAAGATTATAGTACGGGAATTATAGATTCATTTTATTCGCTTTTTATGGCCCAGTTCTTTAGCTTTTTCCGTCAAAGTCACTCACTTTGCAGTAGACACAAAATCACTAAGTTCACCATCGTCTCGCTCTAATTGTTCCAAGGTGCGAGCTTCGCCTGTAGATTGCAAACCAATTACCACGCATTTACCACACTTAACAGCTTCTCGAGCGACCGCGACAGCGTGCTTCACTTTTGCGGCAATACATAAATATTTGAAGAAACGCTGATGCGATGACCAAAATTGACCCCACATAGTCTTTTTCATACGATTCTCAGCATCCAATAATTCTGCCGATTCTTGAAACCTTTGCATTGCTTCAACCCACTAATACAAAATTTTCGTATTAATGCTCAATCGCTGTACAACTATACACGAGCGGTCTAGTTGTTCAATACCCACCAAATAAACGGAACGGTCGTATACTTCAGTGAATTCTTTGGATAGCGGTACTTCTTCTATTTTAAAAGCTACACCATGAAAGCTCAATTGCCGTGCAATATACATGCCTCGCAATTTCATATCCATCGCTACAATTTCCATTGTACCAACTCCGCGTTTCTCAACAGCAGTAATGAAATCATTGAACTCGGGAAAAGGTGTTCCCTCTCCCCATATACCGAGACGAACCATATAGGCCATGTTTCGAGGCTCAGAAGCACCTGTGGCGCTGGCGTACACCACTCGAGCTTTGGGAAGTTTGTTCTGCAACTCCAAAACCGTTAAACCTGTAACATATGTTCTGTGAATATCGATATACACGACTTCACCGATGTTTGCTTTTCAAGAATGCAAACATTTCGAAGAAATTGTAAAATTATAATGGAAATTATAATAGAAATAATACGTACCGGTCTTGGTAGGTTTTGAACTACCCGTTGGACACAAATTCTTTGCACGATGACATTCGTCAAATATAATTAGACCGTCGAAATCCTCCCCGCACCATTGCAGAAGTTGTTTCAACCGACTTTTATATTTACCGCCGCTCTGTGATGATTCCCCGATTAAGGCAGAATACGTGCTAAATATCACTCCTTTCTTTACGTTACCATTCACGGCTGACGAAATTTTTGCGTATTTAAATTTGTTTAAAGCATGAACCTGCAAATAGCAAATTGTGTTTCATGTTGCCCATTGCAATGCGAGCGGAACGTTGTTTTTTTAAATAGTTTCCAAGTACCTCGATCTTTGATGCGCCTATGTCGTTTAAATCGCGTTCAGCGTCGTACTTCAGATCATTCGAAACGGAAACCCAAATGGCGCGTTTACGACCTTTTAAATAATTTTCGAAAATTATGCCCGCTATAGTTCGTCCTTTACCGACTCCTGCACCATCTCCGATCAAGAATCCGGCACGCGTTCCGTCTGGTAAGAGGTGTTCATGCTGTTGAGACGCATACGTTATAGACTCGAGCTGTAAAGCCGACAAGGCACCAGTTCTTATTGAGTCTTCCGGAATTGAGACCTTATACCAAACATCTGTTGGTTCGACACTGGACAACGATGCAGTTTCTACTACGGGATCTGGATGCTTTCGCCCAAGCTTGACTATTTAATACGTAACAAAAATTTGGTAAATAATAGCATTTAGTTGACCACGAAACGACAATGAAATGAACTTATCGTACGTTTAGTAGGCATGTAATCGGCATAGGTTTCAGCAACGCCCATATCTTCGTCGTCAACCTCTTCTTCTTCTGGTAAAGTTGGTTGTATATTCATTTTAGTAGGATCTGCTGAATTCATCCATAATTGAGACATAGCCTTGCCTGCAATAATTCATATGAATTCATATAATAGTATGGTATTGTAGAAACAGTTCGAGTTAGAGGTTTCTATTATAATAAGGATAAAATTTCATGCCTAAATACTAATCAACGTACCTGATAGTCCAGCCGGCCAGTTTGGATGTAAACCGTTTTGGTTTAATAGTTGAACTAGGGGATTTACACCCATGTTCATTCCAGGCATACCCATAAAACCACTCATTAAGCTCATATCCATGCCTGGGGAATAATGGTATACATAAAACCTCTGGATTGTTCTTTTAGTAACACTATTGTGATTGTCGATTATTCAATTAATGTGATAATATACAATGGAATAAGGATGTATTGTCATTACAAGTATACATTTTTCTAATAAGTTACAGCCAAATCCATAAAATTTTTTAATACGTTTTTAATACGTTAACGTATGTGCTTAGCTAATTCATACATACATTAAATATGTAACTGATCTTCACAGCACACACAAAAAAGGAATCACACTTTGACCATGTTATTAGACTCGAATGAATGATATCGCTTACTCGGTGGGAAAAAGGCTGCAGGATTAAAACCCGCAAGGGTTGCTAATCCAGGTGGAAAACCATATGGACCAGCTGCGGCTAATTGTCCCAATTGACTTAATTGACTGGCACTGACAAAATCTGGAGGAGCACCCTGTGATCCACCTACACGAACCATTTCATAACCTGGTGACGCTGTTTTGGTCACCAATCCCCCAGGAATTTTGTTACCAAATTTTTGATTCAGCACTGTGAACAAAATACATTTACAGGACAATGGAAATAGTATTCTATTTATAAAAAAAACTTGAATAACTTACTGTTTATACCCCCTTGTCCTTTAATCATTATGTTGGATGGAGCATCTGCAGGTTTTTCATCCTTGATGTTTGCAATCCCAGTGGCAGTGGCAAGATCCTTTCCACCACCTAACAAAATTATTGTTTTATTTGTTATGTATTCATTCGAAAGGAAGTAAAAAACATAGAAAAAAACATTAACTTACCAGGTACACCCATGTTGTCAGGATCTTCATCCTCGTCACTGCTGCTATCTTCATTCATTGCATCTTTGTCTCTTTTACTTGACTACAATAATAAAACATTAATTGAATACATTTCAGAAGATCGCAGATTAGGGAATAAGAAAAGATATATGCAGCATTGTTGCCAAGATTATAATAAATTACACATGAAGTGTTTTAAAAATTTCATTCTTCAAGCTTATATAATTAATTTGAAATATACAGTAAAGCTTTCAGAAATGCAATGCAACAGTGTCTCTACATTTGAAACAATACAAATGAAAGATAAATTTTTTATTAGAACCGAGCTAGAAATAAAATAAACAATTTATGATTGAAAAGACATACAATTTATTCAGCTCTGGGTAGAAAAGAAGGTGGGGGACAACAGGGTAAAGAGAGGGAGAATAGATTGTGAGTCATTTAAAATTACAATGAGAAACGTATACGCGGTGCGCGTAGAGCGTCTATAGGTTAGTCGTATCAAGAGATGTATGCTTGCCGAGAGAAATTCATTTGATTCGGGAAGAGGAAGCGAGTCCGTGAATCTTTGATAATAATAAACAAAAATCGAACTCACCATGACAAGAGAGATATTTGTTCGATCGTTCGTATTCTAAAAACTTCACGATGAATAGACACTTGTGCCAAACAAGGAAGGTGTTGATACTATCTTCGTCGCGAGCAAAGATGCTGACTATGTGACAGAGTACACGGGAGATGGTCACTTTTTTTTCCTCCCTTCAGAAAATTATTCGTGGCTTGTGTCTCGTCGGGCGGACATCACACGAGGACGACCTCAGGGCTGGTGGGTTGTGCGAGCTAGAAAATCACAGCGTAAGAACTGAGTGTGCGCTTGGGCCAAACCATTTATGCGGTCTGGACCGAGCATGCACTTGAAACGCGTTTGCCGAACACGGCTGCCGCCATCTTGGCTTTCGCCCGGCCCACGGTGCACCGCGATGCAAATACAAAAACACACGCGCTGCGCCTATGGCCGCTACCGTTTACAGAACAAGATCGAGCAGCGTTGCCAAATTGCGACCGCGACTAAGGGAATACAATATTCTCAGGAAGCGCGTTAACCAAAAAATTGCCGCGCTTTCTAACGCATAATTCATTCAATCGATCATAATCAATTTTTATCGTTTCAAAAATTCTTCGAATCGAGTGTTCGTTTGCGTAGACAATTCTTACAACTATGTAAATCGACTGTTTCTTACGATTAAAAAAACGCACTAAATTATACAGTACTCTAATATTATTTACCATTATACTATTACTATAGTAGATGTACTCATCTACTATTGCTATACAGTAACTACTACCACTACATCACTACCACACTATTACTCTACTACTACACTACTACTACTGTCACTACTACTACTATTATTACTCCTATTACTATTACTACTACTGTCACTACTACTACAATTATTACTCCTATTACTATTACTACTACTGCTACTCTGCTACTATTATTTCTATGACTTATCAAATATCTATATTCTAAAAGCTTAAAGTAAGTAATAGTCACGACTCGTCGGCGAGGAGAATGTGAAATCAATAGAAATCAGTCGAAAACGGCAACGATAGGCGTAAATATATAATGTGGATAAGAAGAAAAGAGATTTATGACGTTTCTCGAGTCGATAGTATGTACCTAAATTTTTTAAGAGATTGCATCCAATGTCTAGGCGGATGTTATAAGCGCGATATCAAACATTTCGTAATGTTAAGTACTGTTCCGTAAGCTCGATAAGATTGCAAACGATTAATCGTTTCGACGTATAATTTGCTGTAGCCAGGTTTTTGAATATCGATGGGAGGATATCGTTGAATTGTATTGTATTCGGTTTTATTACCGTTTAAAAAAGTCACTATTCGATTTATGTAGTTGTTCCTTGTTTAGCTGGTCGTCATGGATCGTGCGTCACTGAAAGATACGGAACCGCAGCGAAACAACGAAACGGAGAACGCAAAGTCGCGTACACGTGCCCACTTGAAATCCGTAAATGGTATGACTTTAAGTAAAATCGGTTATTCAAGCACGTGCTCTGCCGAATCACAGCGAACGGTAAACAAAGCATGCATATCGCGTATCATGTGTCCGCACACGCATGGTCACGCTCAAACGAATGAAGCCGGTGGCGGTCGATCTGGCAACGCCGCATGCGCGCCGCGCTGATCGTTAGTTGATTTAAAGTATCCGCGGTAAAAAGAAAAGAATACGATAGCCAACTGGATCTAGAATCGTCGTATAACGTTCGTTTGACCAGTCGTCAATCAGTTCGCGAAAATGGAACGATTTTCGAGGATCGTCTTCGCAAAATAATACGTATGAATCGCATATTACACAATCGCACGACTAAATCTATCTAAAAAATAACACCGTTCTAATACGATCGATCCGAGCTTCGCGCCGCTGACAACGCTACCTATCGGCCAATTCATGCAACTAACGATATTGGGAGATGATTCGATTTCGTCAATTTCGCACCGTGAAAATGGAAATTCTATTTTACTTCGGATGAATATATTTCCCCCGCATAAATACAGTATTTAAATTCTTATGCTTGAAATCTCTCTTGCAATGGACTTTCTTCGCTCACGTATTCTATACGTTTGTTAATCCGTTAACGTATACTGTTCTATTCTACTAAAATTTTCGTTCGAAATTTTTGTAGTAGTTACAAGTAACATATTTTAAGTTGCAGATCAAATAGGAAATGATTTACTGCATATAATTTAGCATGGTTAACATGACAGAAATATTGATTAACAATTGCTGCACTCGATATCTCTATTGAAAAATAACAGAGTTTTTATTACTAACAAACGATCTATATTTCCACGGAGATGCAATTTTAGTATATCGCACCTAGTAAGTTATTATTCAGTATAAATTTCTTTGCATGGAGAATCAAGTCGTCTTATTTATATACTAAAATTCGTAATAGGATATTATGAATGAAACGTTTTGATCCCGTAAATTTTAATTATAAAGTAGTTTGGAATAGGTTATGTCAAGATAAGATAAATAATTCAAGTTTGACGACAGATTATAATACGTTCTTTTAAACTAGAATTGATAGAAATTATTTAATTAGAAATCATTACCAAAAATATTCGAAACAATTGACAAATAAAAATATAAAATTAAATCGAATCTTCCTAACGTTTTTCAAATTATTATTGACGGACGATTGTTTAAAAATTAGAATCATTCTCCAGACTATAAATGGAATACATGTATGTATTTAGATACATCTAAGACTGCCGTGGAACTCTGAGGGTTTTCAGTCGTTGTTAAACTTCGTAGAAGAATAATAATTTACTCAAGCAATAAAATTTCGGACTAAATGAAATATTTTTGAATTTTAATTGAGAAAAACATTTCATGCGCGCCAACATAAGAATTATAGACGAGATACATATGTACATGCATATGTATGCAGACGCACACATCATACGCAGATGCCAACCTCTAATTCGATAATAATGTAGAATATGTACATATACATGTACATAGCATCATGGCGAGCAATGGTGGTACATCCGGTCTGCTATTTCGACACTGTTTGTAATTTCGATTTCGTTTGATCAGAAATACGCTCGAGAACATTGGAAAAAACACAACTGTTCGCCGTATCATTGCTAATTTATGCATTTTTCTTACGTCGGATATAATATTGCAGAGAGATGAGATATGAACGTTGGTTCTGGGATCGCTGACAAGAAAATTCGAATTGTCAAAGATCATTTATGTGAAGCACACTAGCGTCGCGTCGACTAGCATTCGAGTGACTTGAACACGGTGGTCTGGCATAGCTCGGAAATTTTTGTATGAGAAGATTCAATTCTAGATTCCACCTTAGCACGAAAATATTGAGGAATAATATGGTGAAAGGTAGGAATATGATTTTTAAAAATCCGAGTGTACTTTCACTGAAGATTCCTTGTCATTACTCAGGTTATGTTTTGATAAATTTCACTTCGTCTCTTTCTCCATTTTGAACGTTATCTTAGAGACGCTGGTTGACTTCCTCACTCATTGATTCCTAATGAATTTTAAAAAATTTCTTTTTCTAACATTGTTTATGCAATGCCGGACAATTTCGTATTTCAAAGATCACTAATAAATATTAACATTATTAGGTAGCTTAAAAAAAAGGGTACAGCCTCTATATGAGAATGTTAGACTTTATTTATAATTACAAGTAATAAACTGTTAAAATGAAAATGTCACTGAAATAAAACATTTGGCATTAATAGATGATTTGTATAAGATTCGTCTAAAGGAACTATATGTATCTTCTGTTATATTTCTATTTATAGAAAGTGTATAATTGTTTAAAAATTATTTGAGGTTGGATATATTGTATATGTTTCAATTACAGAACGACGGAAACGGTTACAAACCAAAAGTATGGTTTGTACAAGAGCCACAGTTTCATCTTTGCAACATAAAGATATTGGTGTATCTATAAAAAAGGAGCAGCCCATGCTAGATAATAACAAAAATTTGAAGCATGATCAATCGATTGGAACGCATGTAGCAATGGATGTACATAAATCAATTTTGCCTATAAATTCCTGTTTTTACAGACAAGTACATAATTTTTATCTATAATATTTATAATAAATGATTTACATTCAAAAATATGTATTAGAGTTATACTTAAGTATATTCTATTAAGTATAACTCTAATACATATTTTTGAATGTAGATCACACCCATTTCAAGGCCTGATCTTTCCGAAACTGAAACTTCCATAGTGCCTATTAAAAAAGAGACCTTTTACATAAAAGAAGAAGCAAATGTTGTACAAAATGATATTGTCAGTGATGTTAGTCACTTCACAACAGATGGTAGTAGATTGACTAATTCTGGTAACTACCAATTATTCGCTATGAGAAGTTGTTACATCAATATATACAATATTTCAGAAACACCTGTAGCCGTGCCCATTCATGGTCCATCTACACCCCACAGAATAAATATGCCACACAGTCAAATAGAAGATTTAGATGAAGGAAATAGGAACACTCAGGACGATAAAAAACCAGTAATCTCTGCTATTACTTTAACACAGCAGCCTCTGAAGAAGCCGAACAACCGTGGCCGAAGAAAACTAAATGGCAATCAAGTCATCAGTCATCGTTCAAACGAATCCTCAGACATTAAAAGTACAAATCACAAGCTTACAGATTATTTTCCAGTACGTCGTAGTATAAGAAAATCTAAGAAAGTTGTACTAGAGGAGAAACAACGTGATATGGAAAACAAAGTACTTTGTCAAGTGGAAGAGGGTTTAGAGGTATAAAAGTTAACGACGATTAATCATTATTTTATTATTATAAATCTAGCATAAAATTTTTTTATTTTTTAAGGTAAGATACTTTGCTGGGAAAGGGCGTGGTGTGGTAACAACGCGAGAATTTACGAAAGGAGAATTTGTGGTAGAATACATTGGTGAACTGATCTCTCAGGTTGAGGCAAAGAAACGTGAGAAGATATATGCACAAGATCAGACCACGGGATGTTATATGTATTATTTTCAACATCGTAATCATCAGCATTGGTATGAGCTTTTCAAATATCATAATCGTTTATAAATTATTACAAGATAATAATCTTTATTTATACACCTGATACATTTTAGTGTCGACGCGACAGCTGAGACTGATAAGTTAGGTAGACTAGTGAATCACTCGAGAAACGGTAATTTAGTTGCACGAGTCATAGAAGTAGGCTCGACGCCCCATTTGGTACTTACGGCAAAAGAAAATATACCATCCGGAATAGAAGTTACATACGACTATGGGGATAGAAGTCGTGAAGCTATTCGCTATCATCCATGGTTGGCGTTATAGCGTTTTCAATTAATTGTGTAGTACTATATTATATTGTACATAGGAGAAATTATTTCACAGATTATTGTTCCTCCTATGGAGAAACAGTACGTATATAGGGTGTTTTAGTTGAATTTTATGAGATGAGAATATGCAAAGAAGAATACATTCATATAAAGTTCTGCTTTTCTCAGTGTATGTCAAGTATAATATCTTGCCTCGAAGTCAGGATGAGAAGAATTAGAGATCCTTGGTATTTTATAAGTGGATAATACAGATTGACTGCATGCATGATCTGTATCGTGTGAAAATATAATTAAAGAGAACAGTTCCCTTGAGAAGTCCACACATCTGTATTCAGTTACTCCAAATGACACGATGCCTATGCACCACGAATATAATGTTAGTCTTAAATTTATAATAGTTTTGTCCCGACTATACTCTAATATTCTCCTGCAGTCGGTGATAAAAATTTTATATCTTACAATTAGTATACTAGATCAGAACTATTCCTGGTTGAATGTTTTGTGATAAATTTCAATAATAGTAAGAACTTCTCTTTGTGTTAGTTTACAGCGTCATTTAATAATGCTGGTTTTATCAATTTGTCACTGCCATGATCTAATTCACTATTCAAGGAAAAATTTGCTATTGAAATTACAAGCAAAGCTGATTATGGTATCAATTTTGGTATGAATATACATTTTTGTAGCAACAGAATTTATATCTCCAAATGAAATAGTGCAGATCTTGAAATACAATACAATTAGAACAAACATTTAAAAGATGGCTTTGTTTAGAAAAATAAAATAGCTGTGCACTTTGCATGCATCT